ATAATCATAAAAATAATATAAGGTAGTTCAACAATTAAATTTTTTAATGTTCAATTTTTTATAACAAATAATAATAATTATTATTTTTTGCTCTAAATATAAAAATAAATGTATTTTATATCAATTACTAAATATTTTATACTCTCATTTATGGCGAGATTTGTAATAATGAGACACTCACTCATTATTCATATAAGTCAGTATATTTATTCATTTAATATATGAATTACTAAGTTAGTATTCTTTTATTAAATGAATTAAGGGGAAAGTTCATTTGAGTTTAAATATAAAGAAACGGTTTATGTTACAATTGATCAACGAGAACCATTCTTGTTATTAAAAAATACCAATGACGCAAAATTAAAATGGGATAAATAATTACATTATTTTAATAATATTTAATTGATATAAAGCTTAATATATAATTTAAAAATTTAATAATGTTACAATAATAAATATAATTTAGAAAATAATAAATATAATAATAAGCATTATAAAATGTTTATTATATTTTTAATAATTTTATTATTTGTTTGAGCATTTGAAAATTTTGAAGTCTAAAAATAATTATGACCCAATTTAGGTAAACTTTTAGAGAAGTTTATATAAGAAAAAATTAATATAAAAAATAAATAATTTTTTTATAAATTAAAAACAACTTATCTCCTTAATTTAAAAAAATATATATGGTAAAGTTTCTCAAAAAATAAAAAAATCATAAATGATTTCTAATTTATTAAAAAATTAATATTTTGTATTCTTTTTTTTTTTTCTCAGGTAACATCTATATGAATTTATCCAAATTCAACCTATTTCTCGTGGTTTATTTTGAGAAACTAAAAGCTATACTTATAAGTGTACCTAAAAAGAAATCCTTATTAAATGTTGAGTGAAACATATATAAATTACGTTGACAATATAGTCCACCGATAAAATGTTCCGTGAGCTATTAAAATAATTGACAATCCATATCAATGATCTTAATAAAAATACACATATAACATTCAAAATATTGTCTTAAAATAGTCATTTATAATCAACAATAAGTTAATTAAAAGAAATTGTTTTCATATATTTAAATAAATTCATATAGAATATTATACCTAGTATTGAAAGTAAAATTACTTATTTATTTAAGAAGTTGAATTATTTTTGGGACAAACCAAAATCATTAAGTTTTATAAAAATGTATCAATTTTAAAAAATATTTATATATTTCATTCGTATATTTTGAAGAAATAATAATTTTTTAAAAATTAATAAACTTAAATATAGTGATTAATAATATATATATATATATATATATATTAATCTCAACTCTTAGAATTAATTTTAAGAAAATAAAATTGATAAAATTTTATATAAAAAAATATTATATTAAAAAATAAATTATATTTCTTTATTAATAAAAAATATATATTTTTAAAGAGTTTAACCAATGTTAAGCACTTAGTTAATAAAACAAATAAAAAAGACTGAAAAAGTAAAACTCACTCAAAGAGTTACATGCGCTAATATGTATACATATCTATAATATATGTATTTGTGAGTTCATTTTGTAAAAATTTTGATTTGTTAAAACCTCATGAAAAGTTTTTTCAACACTTTTCTTTATTCTCTTTCGATTTTTAAAAAACTTTATTCTACTTTAAATTTCAAATTTTAAATTATAAAAAATAATAATTACGTTTTAACAAGGTCATTTATTATTTATTTTTTATACTTGCATGTTATCTTGAAATGCTATATTAAAACTCATTCCACTAAATTATAGAGGAAAGGAAACTCAATAAGTACCCACAAAAATAAATAAAACTTACTACTAAATAATCTTTTAAAAATTTGAATTAGTTTTACATGCTCTTCCATTTTGAAGCTCTTTGCCTCTTTCTACTTATCATTATAAATCTTCGCAAGTGAATAGAAAAAAATGTAAGTAATTAAAGTCAGGTATCATTAGGTTTCATTTCTTGTGTCTTCATGTTTAATTATCCTTTATTCACATTGTTTAAAATTAGTTTTACATGTTATGCAAGTATTCAGGAATTCTAAACCATAGATTAATTTTGATGACAAGTGTTTCAATAATGCTTTTAAAGAATATAGATCAAGCAAATGAATTATGCAATGGAACTAGATTGATGGTGAACCAATTGAAAAAGAAAAGTTTTAGCTTACAGGAAGGAATATAAATAAAATTTAGAATTATCTTTTAAATTTTAAAAAAGACAATTTTCCTTAATTCTTTGCTTGCTATGACTATTAATAAGATTTAAGAATAAATATTTTTTAATGTTAGTCTTTACTTATTAAAATCAGTGTTTTTCTACAATAAAAAATTGAAAATATTAATTTTATACAAAAATAAGTTATCATAATTTACATCAAATATAATATTAAAGAAGTATTTTGAGAAAATATAACAAGATCTTAAACATTATGTATAATCATTTTTAAATTTTATTTATTAGTTTCTTTATATGTTTTGTTGTTGTACATTTTTTTTATAAACTATATGATTCACAAAGATATAATTTACACACAAATTAATCAGTTTTCTTTCAAATTTACAAAATTTATATATAAAATAAATATAATAGATAATATTATAAAAATTTATTCTTAAAAATATATATCTTTCAAAATTATTTAATTAAATATCTTATATAATATTTAAGTTTAATTTGACGTAAGATTATTTTTAACTTAGGGCCGTATTAAACAATTATTTTTTAAAATTAAACAACTTAAATTTATTTTATTTTTTCATTTAAATAATATTCTGTGTATTATCAGGTTAAAATAATGTATATATATATATATATATATATTAATTTTAGCATAAAACATCTTACCGTCAGATTCTGCTGAGTTAGTCTTTATATTACGAGTACTTATTAATTTATTTTTTAAAATTAAAATATATTGTTTTATTTCTCAAATGATTGTTATTTAGAAATATTAAAACTTAAAATAATATTTATTTAATAATTCAAAGACTAGAGTAATATTTTTTTTATTTTATAAAAAAATTAATCAATACTAATAGTTTTGAAATTTGAAGAATTACTTTAATTGATCTTATTAAATAGGTACGGCTGCATAGACTTCACAAACAAAATGAATTTAAAAGATATTTCACGTTGATTTTTTTTTTTTTCAAATGAAGTAATAAACATGCATCTTTATAACAACGATCTTGTTAACATTTTACCTTCAAAAATAATTTTAAACTTTTCAAAATAATAAATTTTTATTAAAAATATTTGTTATACTTTCATTTTTTTTTAGTATGTACTTTATATTTTTAATGTAATAAATACATTTTAAATACATAAAATTTTATTGGTTTTAGTTGCTTAAAATTAATTTTAAGAAAGTACTATTGTAAATTTAAGAGTGTATTATATATCTTCTTTAATTTGAATTGATGGTTGTAATTCTTTTAAATAAATTATTAATATTACTGTTGATTAATATAACGGTGATAATTGTTCTACATTTTAAAAAATAAAAAAATACTCTTTTATTTTATAAAATACAGTAAAAAAATTTTTTAAGGAATTGATATTAATATTTTTATTAAAAATATTAGAATTTTTCTTATAATACATATTGGTTGAAAAAAAAAACGAAAAGGTATTTAATTTGTAGGAACGCAAAACCAGATAAATGGGAATTGCCATTCTTGCTCTTTACAATATTCTTTTTCAAGACATGTTTTTTAAACCTTCCTATGTTTATTCAAAAGGAGAAAACTAATCAATTTCTTTATTCAAGAAATTAAAAATATTTTTAAAAATTAGAATATTTAATATTATCATTATATCTTTATCATATCTTTTAATATTTAATAAAAAATTTAAAACTACAAGTTAAGTTAAAATAATATATTTTCAGTTGATTTACATACTCAATAGTAAATTATTTCACTTTAAAAATTTAAGAAAACAATTTTTTCAATAACATCATTTATTTACTGACATAAATCTTAATTAATTCATAACTATACCCATAGCTCCTTAAATAAATTAATTTAATAGAGCTTATCAAATAAGTATCAGATGCACTACAATAAAACTTATAAGATGAATTTAAAGAAGTTTTCACCTTTTTTTTTTTTTTTTTTAATAATCCTTGTTTTATCTCATCGATCTTGTTAACATCATATTTCACAACCTATTTTAAATATTTAAAGATTTTTTTTTCAAAAACTATTTATTACACTTTTATATTTTTAATATAATAAATACTTTTAAAATAAAAAATTACCATTTTTTATTGCCGAAAATTATTTTTAAAGAGTGATATTAACATTAACATTTTCTTAATAACATACATTGATTGAAGGAACGCAAAACCAGTTAAAATGGGGATTGCATTCTTGCTCAGGACAATATTCTTTGTCAAGACCTGCTTGTTAAACCTTCCAGTGTTATTCAAAAGGAGAAAACTAATCAGTGTCTATATGAAATAAATTAAAATATTTTAAAAAATTATAATATTTAATATTACCACTATACCTTTATCATATTTTTAATTGTTTTTGTTTATTAATTATTTAATTAATACGCTTAAGACACTCGTTAGCTACGCTCCATTCAAAATGCCAAGGACTTGACCATCTTTGCCACTGTCGTACTAATACTAATAATAATTGCTGTAAAAATAATATTTCCACCATTTTAGATTATCTTTCAGTTTGTAAGTTTAGTCTGTTTCAAATTATATCACTTTTAAAACTTATGAAAGCATCACTTTTTTTTTTCAATAAGATCCTTTGTTTATTGATATCTCACCTAAATCTTAATTAATTCATAACTACATAATACATTCCAACTTTTTTAATAAACTTATTTTTAGTTAAAACAACTACATTATCATAAAAATTAATATAAATTAATAAATTAATTGAGAGGGGTTTTTAATAAACAATCATAAATTTTTTAGTTACAGCAAAGAAGTCATAACTTACCTATTTAAAAAGTAGAATATTTTCAGCAACTTCCAAATTTCTAATGCCTTTATATTTCAATATTAAAGCAGCAAATGGAAACCACCGTCAGCATTCATATGCATTTGAGTATACAGAAAAATAAACAGAGCCAAAAATTGCAGTAGAAAAGCAACAGATCATCCTTTTTTATTCTCAACACAAATGAGTAGTAGAAATATGCAGCACAATGAAGAAGCTGTTCAATTCATTGCACCCTCCTATCTAAATTTAAGCTTTCCTGTCAACTAAAGTAACACAACTTTCAACTTAAAAGAAGTAATGCAAGCAACTATAAATCTAAATTTACATTTAATCAGTGCAAATCCATTACAAAACCAAAGATGTGCAAAAAGATAAAATCCATATAGTAAAAAAGAAGCATCATGATACCTACCTCAGCTATCAACATCTACCACAGTAGCACAAAGTCATCCCAATGTAATAATGGATGAACTTTATGACTGCACAACTTTATTTTGTTTGATACAAGCCGGTGCCTTGAACTCCTGGCATTTCCACATCGATGTAGCCTCAATTGGCATCACTCTGTCAGTGGATGACTCCACTGGAAATAAAGGTATACTATCAACAGGATGATTGCCTGTGTTCTTTCCAGTCAATGGAGAACTTCTGGCTCTTATTTCTTCCTTTGGCTGTGCCCTATCTTTCGAGGTGCAAATGCTTAAGGGTAACTTTTTTAGCTTCACCCTTCCTCTCTTCTTACCCACCGGAGACAAATCTTCACAGTTTTTCCCTTTTGATTGGCTCGACTCTGCTTCCCCATTATCTATCTCTAACTGGCTAGATTTATCATATTTAACTCCCTTCTTATCTTTCTTACTTGAGCACACCTCTTGGATGGAACCTTCAGAGTCAATCTTACCCGCTATTGCGTGTCCATTGTTCAAAGATAAGCAATCTTGTCCAAATGCCACACCAGATTCAGAGACCTCATTTATTTCAAAACTAGAAGAGCTTTTAGGCTTCTTATGTTTACTACCTTTGGATTCTGAATTTGGAGAGTTCTTAGAGATTCTTGGAGAACTGTTCATGGCTCGATGCAACTTACGAGCTAATTCTTCATCTGTCCTACAATTTTCAATTGGTTGGTTTTTTTTGTACAACAGTTGAACTGGGAGATGTTTCTTTGACTTGCTCTTTTTCAGACTTCTTTCCTTGTTGACTGCCTCCTCAGAGAAAGATGCAACCAAATCTAAAGCACTCTTGGCTGCAGCAACCGCGTTTGCTGCCACAGCAGCTTTTTCTTCAGCCACTGCTCTTGCAGCCTCTGCCGCCTTAGTTGCAGTGATTGCTGCCACTTTTGAAGCCTCCACAACCTCCTCAGGACTAAGGTTAGGGTTATTTGAATGGCAACTCAACAAATGCTTAAGGCGGGCCTCAAATTCACTTGAAAAGGACGAGGAGGAAGGGGAAGCAATATCGGTGACACAAGAAGCAGCAACTGGAGATGGAGAGGCAGTAGCATCACTATCTGAACCCTGTTTCTTCAATCCAGCAAGAAGACGTTTCCGAGGGGGCAGAAGAACATCAGCATCCAACTGATTGACATCGCACACATTATCCATTCTCCCCAGTAAATTCAAACTTAATACTCAGAAAATAATGAACAAATCTTTACATGAATTAAATTGCCATTGTATTGACAATCATATCATTGGGAAAATGATCAAACCTTACCCAATTCCACATATCAAGATTTTAATAAATCTACAAGATCCTCAACATAACCTACATAAAACTTAGACCAATTTAAACACTATCCAAGCTGGTACCATTCCCTGTTGTTAAGAAACCCTCCACGAGAAGAAATATGAGTCACACCCAACATCGAATTCCTCCATTCCACCACTTTGACTCCTAAACAAAAGAAATATAACAACAAATCAAACTCAAAACTAAATGTGCCACCAAAGATTCCACTCATCAGAATTATCTTATCTATGAAAAATGAAGAACAAAACAGCAGCAAACCTCAATTCTCAAACATCACCAATCGCCACTATTCCTAGCAACCAAGAAACTCACCATCGAATCATAATTCAGTAACATAATTCTAAGATCGAGGACCTGAATTCTATCTACCCATGCAGCACAAGACAGGGTTTTTTCAACATCCCAATTCCCAAAACAATTTGATTCAGTCCACAAAGCAATGAATCGAGAACAAAACAATCCAACACAGTCCAAATCTGAATTAAACAGAATCATGCAAAATCAATGGGAATTTCCATACCCCATGAGTCAAATTCAAGAACACAAAAAAAGAAGATCAAACGAGAGTTGGGACCATTGAGAATGAAGGAGGTCCATGTATACCTGATCCTGCTGAGGAAGCTAATGGAAGAGAGAGAAAGAGGGGGCAAAGGAAGATCCAGGATTAGGGTTTCAGAGAGAGACGAAGAAGAGGTTGTGATGGTGAAGAAGAAAATCCAAGGCATGTAGAAAACTTGAGATCTTTCTATTTATATATACTTAATATTATTCATAACATTATTTATTTTATTTTTATGATAAAAATGTGAAAGTGGAAGAATTTCAATGGGTTATGGCTGTAGAACGGTAAACACGCAAATCCCACAAAAACTCCAATTAGCTTCTCTGCTTTTCAAGTAATTTGTAGTTCTTTTTATTTTTATGTTGTCAAACTGTGTCAATGACAACGTCGTTAGTGTTTGCTTTCCTTATGTTGCGAGAAGTTTGGTGTCGAGAGGAAAAATGTAATGAATGAGGATTATGCACTAAAGTATGTCTATAATATCACGTTCTGTTTGGTGTCTAAATTAATGGTTTTACAGTGTTAAAATTAATCAAATTTTATATAAATATTTTCAGATCAACCTTCGTTTTGAAGTTATATTAAATTAACTCAGAAGTTCAAAGCTTTTAAATCATTTATATGAAATGTTAATTTCGATTCTTTTCCGTTATTCACGAAAAATATTCAGAAAATCATATTTCGTCTTGTATTTGAATATATGAGATTGATAATTATTACAAAAAGACAAAAGGTATGAGTTATACGGATTTGAATTTTTGGTTCTAACATCTAAATGGCTAAAAGACATTGTAACAAGCTGATGCCACATTTTATATGCTATTTTATAATATTTACATCAAATTAATATATTTAAAGTATATGATTTATTTAAAGTTAAATTAAAAATTTACTCTACATTCCTAACATTATTTTAATTTTATAATATCCTCAATTTACTACTTTTAATTTATTATTTTATAAATTATTTTTATTCATGAGTGTAAAGTGTGAGCAAGAATTAAAGACTTTTATTAATATATAAAATAAATTATAAATTTTTATAATTAAATTAAACTAAAATAAACCTTAATTAGATCAATTAGGTATAAACACGTGTTAATATGAAACTGAAGATTAATTTTTATAAATAAAAGTTTAATATGAGGGTTTAGAATCCTAAGTCAAACAATATTTCAATAATAATTTTTAAATGGTTTAAATAAATTTTACATGTTAAAAAACCATCAAAATAAAATTAAGATTAATATAACCAATTTGACTACTAAACTAAATTTGATTGATTAGTAAAATTTTAAAACTAAATTCTATTGGATTTTAACTACCTAAGACATAAAACTATGATATTATTGGTTTCAAATTTAAATGAGTCTAAAACTTGATTTTAATAAGTGAAAATATATTAGAATAAAATTAACTAAAATTAATGAAATTTCAAACTCTAAAAGCTTGATTCTTATTAGTTATTACTATAAGAGTAAAACAATACAAAATATTCATAAAATTGAGAGACTTTTTTTTTTGAATTTACCTCTGTAAATAAACTTCCATCATATTATCTTCCAAGATCACTACAAAACTTGTATCTAAACATCAAAACCAATATTGTAAAACTATATTAGATGCATAAATCAAGAGGAGAACAATTATTTAAAGAAGATAACAGAGATGTATAGTAATTTAAAAGTTTTATTGAATTTATAATTTTTTATTTCTTGGAGTTGTATAAATATGAGCTTGAGGAGTCCTTAAATCTTAAAGATTAGGTTTCACATGCTCATGCTTTTATTTTATAAATTTTTTTATATTTTTATTAAATTGACATAGATATTTATGTTTTTATGTACCTTTAAATTTATGTTTAATGGATGATATGTTTAAAATTGTAGCATGACCATCAAGTATATTTGGAGTTGGAGTTATGCCATAGTGGTTTAAATTTTTTTGGATATGTATTTTGTTAGTCTAATACGACATTGGTAGATTCTGTTATATAGTTAGTAAAAATAGTTACTATCTTAGTATTATATAAATACTCAATGTAAACTCATTTTAAGAATCATTGATATACACATATTTAGAAAAAATTGTTTTTATCATTTTCTTTATTTGTAACATGGTATCCAGAACCTGAGTCTTTGAAAGATATGGCCAACACCAATTATTCATCTCCGCCACCAGCTCCGTCAAACTTTACTGTGCGTGCACCTCTGTTAAACACCCACATACCCACTCCAGCTCCATTTTCTCACACAACCATAGAGAAATTAGATGACAGAAATTACCTATTATGGAAGCAACAGGTTGAACTAGTTATTCTTGGTCATAGTACAAAAGTTTTTAGTGAATCCATCAATTCTAAAGAAATTTCTTTTGGTGCTGATTGTGCAATAGGAAGAAAAAAAAGGATTATCTTGATTGGGAGCAATGAGATTCTTTGCTCCTCAAGTGGCTTCAATTCATAATTTCGAACTTCATTCTCACCAAAGTGATGGTTTCACTGTTCTTATCAGGAGCACAAAAAATCCAAATATAAAAATCAAATCCATAATCTAAGCCCAACTGGAATTAAAAATCCAAATTTTTGAAGGAACCAAATAACTCAATATGTAGAAAAAAAAATCTAGATATGAATTGGATATGATATATCAAAATTGGATTTGACTTGAAAAAACCAGATTTCTTCTTCTCCTTCTTCTAAATCCTAGATCTCCTTCTTGAGAAAACCACAATGATTTGGCATCGCAACAACAGGGATTCACTTGCCCAGCCTTATGTTAGGTGTCTATTTTTTATTTTTTTGTATAAATTTTAACTAGTATTTAAACACTTACGAACTTGATTTAACTGAAAATTTTGTTTTTAACCCCTTTATCTTTAAGAAAATCAAAAGGATATATAATTACTGTATTTTATTGAGAGTTGTTGACTTTTGGAATCAAATTTCTTTTATTTTGACTTTGAAGTACTTAGAAAGTTTTTGGAAGATTTGAAGTCTTTCAGCTTTTGGAGAAGCGCTAAGCAGAATGGAGCTAGAGAGCAAAGTTTGGAAGCATGTCCCAACCACTAAGCTGTTGTATAAGTGCTGAGCAAATTGGGTCTAGAGAGGATGAGAGGTTTCGCGTAACACCTTAAATTTAATTTTCAATAAATAAGAAATTTTACAAATTTTTAAAATGACAAAGTTTCCATTTTAATTCAAGTTTCATCAACCATTTCAAATAAAGAAAAGGGTTACAACTTATATCCAATAGTTGCTACAGGACTTATTCTAATATAACAGTTTTCTAAAATAATATCCTAAGTCCTATAGCAGTTCCATCCACCCCTTCACTGAGCCCGGTGAAAAATGAATGTAAGGGTGAATACTCTATACTACCCAAAACACACTGATGAAACGATATTTGGACTACTCGTCATGCAAAAGATTGTCGTTAATCCTCATCAAATATGCAAAGAAATGAATGCAGTACTAGGGTGTTATCCTATGTCGTCTCCAAGGAATTTTTGGTTGAGAACATACATCGAACAAGTGTGAACATGTATTTTAAAGCAAGTAAATTGGGGGGAGGTTTGTCAATTTCTGGATTTTAAACAAGAACGAAATGTAAATTAATGAAATTCAATCAATTAAAATGAGTAATCCCTAGTCAAGCAATGAGTTCTATCATTATTCTTCCAAATGATTCAATAATCCCCTTTCTTTCCCTTAAATTAAGTTAATCTAACAAGCGAAGACTAACTTTAACATCCCAATTAAAATTAAGCATCTTAATGGGCTCCAATCTCTATCCCTAAGATTAAGCAACCTCAAGGATTAACCAAAATTAAGCAATTTTGAATTAGAATTTCGTTAGGTAAATTAGGGTTCATTAAGCAATGTTCCCTTCATGCAAATTCCATTTCATTCAGAGATTGGGGTTAATAAATTCAAGAAAAGAAAGATTTGTATTGCAATTAATCCCAAGAATTCAAGATTCATGTGCATTGACTAGGAATTACAAGGAAGTTTAGCCCTCCATGTGGATGGGCTTCACAAAAGAGAGAAAGAAATGCAAGAACGTAAACATCATTAATGCAAATTCAACAAAAATCAAAAGAGAAATTGGAAATTAAAACCTATAGAGGACCCTTGGCTGTCACCCAAGACTCCAATGTCGTAAGAAATTATCCCAATTTGGCAAAGAAAATTGTGTAAAGTGTCAAAAGTCCCGTACCCTAATTCCTAAAATCTATTTATAGTGGATGACATGTCACCAAAGTGTCCACTTTTGCCTTTGAAAGTGTCCACTTTGGGCCTTGAAAGTGTCCACGCGCAGAATGGAAGGAATGCCGCTTCTCTGGAGTTGCTACTATTTGTGCTGAAAGTAGCTACTTTGGTGCGCGTAGCTACTTTGAGAGCCCATAGTAACCACGCGCAGGAAGGCTTCAAAATCAGCGTCCTAGAGCTTCTGAAGTTGCCACTTTTGGTCTTGAAAGTAGCTACTTTGGATGCGCGTAGCCACTTTGAGAGCCCATAGTGACCACGCGCATCATGCTTCAAAATTGGCGTCCCTGGAGCTTCTGGAGTTGCCACTTTTGCTCCTCAAAGTGGCTACTTTGTGGGCAACTTTCATCCAAGGACCAAGATTTCTCAAATTTAACTTGGGCATTCTGCAAAATCATCAAGATAATTAAAATTGCAATCTATATCTATGTAATTAAATGCAAATTAACCAAAAATTAATAAACCTATGATATTTATTCAAAATGTGATTTCTATATTATTTTCACTATCTAAGTCCATTTTTTCTATCAAGAAGCATAAAAAAGGCAAGTAAAAATATAATAAAAAGTGGATTCATCACACACAGTCAACATAGAGTCTCACCTCCAGAACCTTCCCAATACTTTCAACAAACACAATCACAGGCAGCAATTCACATCCATAAGTACCAAACACAAATCCATGCATACGCATATCAGCCACACTCAATACAGTACTATGATCACAAATTTACACCATGAATGGTCGCCGGTTATCCCCGCCTCACGGATACCACGTGTGCAATCACGGGTCGCTCAGTAAGGATAGTGGTCAGAGGTCTAGTCAGGAAGAGAGTGTGTGACCAGTGGTGCACCCGTTCCGCAATCGGTGTCACCACCACTCTCTCCTCCCTAACGTATTCCTACTGTCCTCATCTTCCACATCCTCAGTGTATCGCTGAACCATTCACAGCATATTACAACGGCGCTAATACGCCCATTCACACATATATTCCATTCATGCATGCAATAATCATGCTTACACACGGCATACAGCCCACATTGCATTCAAATACACGGCACTAGGCTCACATTCATTTCACATCACACGGCACATAGTCAATATTCATCTATTTTACACAACATTTACATACAATCCACATCCATAAAGTTTGGGTCAATACACATAATGTTCATAGATCACGACACATGGTCCATATTACATTTCTCAGCAATTTCCTACCCCCTAACTCAGCCACAACACAATATTAAGCAAAAATAACAACAATTCATACACAAAAGAGTAGGATAGAGTCCTCCCCTTACCTTCGATCGACGTCTCAAACACTAAATTCACCAAGAAGCGCTCCCCCTCACGGATTTCATCCTAAACACATGGAGAAACTCCATGAGAACCCAGGGAAACCACGAAAACGGAGATATGGAATGAAAAATTGAAACCCTAACTATTAAAACTTACCTCCAAGCGTTTTCCACACAAATTCGACCTTCAATCAAGCTCCCAAATGGCTTTTGAGGCAATTTAATCGGTGGAAAAGGGCTTTGGGCATGAGAGGATCGAAGGGAGAGGGAAAAATAATTCTCCCCAAACCCTAACCCCTTTTAAATCCTTTTCTAGTCGCAATACTCTTGTTACAACGACACACCCTCTCGCTATAGCGAAAAAACCAAAGAAAACTGTACTCTAGTTTCTGCAGAATCTCGCTACAGCAAGATTGCACCAGAAATGCACCCTAAACTGTCGCTTTCTCGCTACAGCGAGAAGGTGACAGTTTCAGTCTTTTCTCCCAGGGCCTTCTCGCTACAGCGAGAGTCCTGTCGCTGCAGCGAGAATAGCCTAGTATCACGCCCTGCACATAGGCACTTAGCTTATTTCAGCCCTATCCAGTCATGCATACACATATATACATACACACATCCCCAACATACATATATTCGTACTCATTACACACAAAACACCATCATTACGCATCCAATGCAAATTCATAACATTCATTTACACTTGTACACACACACACACACACACACACACACACATATATATATATATATATATATATATATATATGCATTTAGATTTATATAAATAACAATAATTAATATTACCGAAATTCGGGGCGTTACATTTCGGCCTTCAAAGTGCCCAACGTTTCTACAAGAGCCCAATAGTTTAGGTTTCTTAATCATGAAAAATTCTCTTAACTGTTCAGCTATTTCCTAAGCGCTGAGCAATTCACTCTCTTTCCAGTCTGCTGTGTTAATTTTTGGGATGGTATAAAAAGGAAAGAATAGAAAACAGAGGTGGCGAACAGAAAAATAGAAAACAGAGGGAGAATAGAGAACAAAAGAGTTGGGGAGATTCATCATTTTATCTTCTTCTACTCCATTCTCTCTTGTATTTTGGGATTGGTACTCATCATCATGAGTAGTTAAATCACTTTCTAATGAGATTGAATGTAATCTATCAAACTCTCTTGTATTCCTTTTTTATTATATTTATGATATATATTATTTAGTGTTAGTGATTGTGATTTTGCTCTTAATGCTTTAGATGAACTGGTCACTCGTCTTCAAACTTTTTACATTGATTTCAATTGGAAAATGCTTTCTAAGTCTGATTTGAATCATATCACCTAATAGCTCTAAATCCGAAGAACAATTTTTGGAGTTATTAGTTAGTTAGGTTCTGGAACTTAATGCAAGGATCACAATTTGATAAACTGAAGAATCATTGTTGAATTATAATCCTTAGTAACTCTAAATGCAAGGAATTGATTTCAAGTAGCTTAAGAGAACTCAATAGCATTGATTAACAGAATCATATTTATATGATATTAGGGATCAACTGAGTTAGATAGATAAAATTCAATTTTAATAATCTCTCTCTCGTGCTATTTCCTAATTTTATTTACATTGTTTAACTTTAATCAATTTAAGTTTCAAATCAATGAATATCAAAATGTGCACATGTAATGTATATAGTTCTTTTCAAGCTTTAAATAGAATATTAGAACCTACTATTATCTTACAAGTTCCTATGGTTTGACAACCCTTATTTCATCCTTACTACAACAGACTTAGTCTGCTTGCCACGCGTAAAAAAATTATTTAACAATTCTTAGCACCGTTGTCAGGGACTTATGTCAAGATAGTTAGTAGCTTTGAGTTATCCTTAATAAAGCTTGTTTATAATTAGATTAATAGCATATATTTTGTTTATAATTAGATTGATAGAAATTATTGTTCTTATGCTAATCCCTTTGTTTAGTTTCTTTTGCGTATTCAAGGAAAACTTTCAGCAGAATATAAACCTTTTGATTCATAAATCAAAAAAATAACCAGAAGAAATAATAGTAAAAGAAGGTAACAAAAGAAACTTGAAAAGAAGCAGCAACAAAAGGACGGTTCATCCACCTCAGTTTTCAACAACCTCAATCTTAAACTATGGCTAAAGTTGGTGAAGCTAGTGGTCCTGGGAATAATAATCAAAAGAATCCCAGGAGACTCTTAGGAGAATACTCTCAACAACTGGGGTCTAGATATTTTTCCAGCATTGTGAGGCCTGTTAAAGGAGTAGAGATGAAGCCAGCTCTATTATCTTTGATCACATCAAACCAATTTGCAAGGATGGACCATGAGAATCCCTATAATAACTTGACTACCTTTTATGAGTTGTGCAACACTATGGGAGTTGGTGAGGATGAATAATTTGCGTACCTTAGATTATTCCCTTTCTCTTTTACAGGAAAAGCAAAAACTTGGCTGCAATCTCATCCAAATCAAAGTTTAACCCGGTGGGAGGATGTGGAAAGAAAGTTCCATCAGTGCCAAGTCAGCCAAAGCGACTTTCTCATAAGGAGCCAATGAGCCTTTGTGTGAAGCATGGTAAAGATATAAATCCTTATTAAGTAAGTGTCCAAATCACAGATTTAATGATGTTTCCCAAATAAACATGTTCTGTAATAGGCTTAGATTGCAAACAAAAATGTTGTTAGATGCGCTAATGAAGGATTCTGAAGAGGCCATTACAATCATTGATGCATTAGCAGCTAGTGATTTTCAAGCCCATCATGATAGAAGCAACCCTCTACCACCAAAAAGAAGGGTTCTGGAGTTAGATACTCAAAATGTAATCATAACACAAAATAAGCTTCTTTCTCAACAAATGGAGGATTCAAAGAAGCAAATGTCTAAGATGAAACTTGGATCTTCTTCTCATTAACAACAACAGGTAATGAGATGTGATTTTTGTGTAGGTGATCACCCAAATGGTCATTATGTTATGCCTGAATAGGAGCTGGAAGAAGAAGTGAGTTATCTAAATAATGTTGGGAGACAAGGTAACTACTTTGGTAATTACAATCAAAACCAAGGTTGGAGAAGTAATTAGAATCAGTACCTTGGATGGAAACAGGATGTAGGTTCTTCACAGAGACAACCTCCTCCAAAGCCATATCAGAATCAACAGGCTCACTAGATAAACAGGTTGACTAAAATGGAGGATGCTCTCACTCATTTCATTTATGTTTCCATAACTAATCAGAAAAATACTAAGGCTTCTATCATAAATCTTGAACTACAAGTAGGGTAGCTAGCAAAGCAATTGACTGATCAGCAGGACAAATTTTTTTTGGCAAATACACAGGTCAATCCAAATAAGCACTGCAAATCTATAACTACAAGGAAAGGCACTGTGATTGGTAAAGGTATAGGTGATATCTTGAATCAGGAAGTTGAGGAAAGTGAGCAAGAGGTAGAGGTGAATAAAGAGGAAGAAAAAGAAAAAGAAAAAAAAATAAAGATGAGAAAATTTGAATGATGGAGTTGAAGGAGGGAAGAAGAAAAAGAAAGATAAGGAAGTAGTGAAAGTCCCTCCTATGAAAAATCTGCCATATCCACATGCTCCATCTAAGAAAGATAAGGAACGACAATTTACAAGGTTCCTTGACATTCTCAAGAGGCTTCAGATCAATATCTTTTTTACAGAAGCTATGGAGCAAATGCCCACTTATGCTAAGTTTATGAAAGAGCTTCTAACCCAGAAAAAAAGATTGAGTGAGAAAGAAACAGTGAAGTTGGAAGTGGGACGTAGTGCTATCATTCAAAGATCTCTACCTCAAAAGTCTAAAGATCCAGGAAGTTTCACACTACCAGTGACCATTGGGCAACTTGCAACTGGAAAGGCATTACTATATCTGGGGGCCAGCATTAGTCTTATGCCTTTATCTATGCTTAAGAGGATTGGTGATGTGGAGGTGAGACTAATAAGAATGACCCTACATTTAATTGACCGATCTGTCAAGTACCTTTATGGGATTGTAGAAGATCTCTTGGTGAAAGATGATAAATTCATGTTTCTAGTAGACTTTGTGGTAATGGACATGGAGGAGGATTCAGAAGTCTGATCAATTGGATTTTTATAACATTATTTCCTCTAATTCCTAGCTCATTAATCCTCTTTTGTGCCTAATTGGTTCAATTGGATCATTTTATGATGTTTGAATTTTATTTGGGCTTTATTTAATTTTTCCAGTATTTAGCAAATTTTGATACTGTTTTGGTTTCTGGACCATATCTTGAGTTGTAGAACTCCTTTAATTGTGATTCTTGATTTGTAGGAAAGCTAAGAGAAAGGTTCACAATTCCTATGAGAGGTTAGAAACCAATTCTAATGATAAGAAGCTGAAACTGGGCCTGGAAAAAGTCAGAACGCTGTAGTCGCGAATACTGAGCAAGTTGCAGTATTTGGGCCATATCTCAGTCCACAGATGTCCGATTAAGCCCATTCCAGTGGCGTTTTGAAGCTAACATCGAAGGCTACAATTGTCCTTCAGGCCACAAAGCAAAAAGAGGCCGTATTCATAGCCAAAAAAAGGGAACAAAGTGATGAATGGAATTTTTGAATTTTAATTTATTTTTTCTCTGTTTTTACTTTTCATTTTCCTCCATTAATGGAGGCTTAGACTTTCATCTAGTCCAAGGATTGAAAAAGAGTTGAGACACTCTTGAGGATCGGTTTCGCAATTTATTCAACAACAAATTCGGTTTCATCTCTTCCTTCTTTCTTCTTTTGCTAATTATGATTTCGAATTGAAGTGCTTCGTTTGGATTGATAATTGTGCAATTGTTTGATTATATATTATTCAGTTGATGTATGTAATTAATTCTTGAAGAAGTATGAATTCGATTTTCAGATTTGGGATCTAAGATTAATGGCATTGGTGAATTAAATTAACACAAATCAATTAGGTTCTAGAGGTTTCTGAACTTTGAGCGAATTGTGTGTTAATCGAATGCATAAGGGTTCTCGTGTGAATGCTTAATTTGAATTGAGGTTTCATTCGAATTTAATGTTAATCACTAATTTGTTAGTTGATGCATCTTCTTGGAATCCGGTGATAGAATGGTCGTAGTTCTTCTAAATTCTTGGATTAGAGTTTTAAATTCTTGTTAGCTTTTTATTCTAATCAGCATTATTTTATAAATCAAACCCCATCTAAATTTATAATCGTATAACATTATCATCATTGGGAGACGACTCAAATTGCACCTCATACTACATAATTTTTATGCAATTCGGTTTTTAATAATTTGTCCGAGTGCGACACTCGCGATCAAAGTCTTTCTAATTCTAGGTCACCCTTTTATGAAGACTGTCAGAGTGATCATTGATATAAATGATGGAAAATTAAAAGTGTGTGTACAAGATGAAGAGGTAAATTTTAATTTCTTTGAAGCCATGAAGTATCCGAGTGACAAGAAAGAGTGTTTCAAAATTGATGTGACTGATAAGGTCTACTTGGAGGCTTATAAGAGCTATACTTCTGCTGAACTATTAGAAAAAGCTTTGATTAATTTTATGAGTAAATTTGAAGACAATGACAAAGAAGAAATTCAAAAGTGTCTAGAAGAGCTTGATAAAGTCAGAGAGATTTCTTCTAGTGTGTGAAAACAAGAATTGAAGAAAGAAGAAAGTTCTCTATCTTAGAAGATAAAGTTGAAATAGTTACCATCACACCTAAAGTATATTTTTCTTGAAGCAAATGGTGGTAAATTGATTATTATCAACAGTTCTTTATCAGTGAAGAAAGAAAGAAAGTTGATTGGAGTGTTGAAGAATAATGAAGGAGCTACTGGTTGGACACTCTTCAATTTGAAAGGAATTATTCCCTCCTATTGTATGCACAAGATCTTGCTGGAGCAGGATTACAAGCCAGTTGCTCAGCCACAAAGACGCCTTAATCCCACTATGAAAAAAGTGGTTAGAAAGGAGGTGATCAAGTTGCTTAAGGCTGTGATGATTTATTCGATCTTTGATAGTGCTTAGGTTAGCCCTATACAAGTTGTGCCCAAGAAAGGTTGTATGACTGTCATTTATAATGAAAAGAATGAATTGATTCCTACCAGAATAATCACTGGGTGAAGGATGTGTATAGAATACAAAAAGCTAAACCAAGCCACTAGAAAAGACCACTTTCTATTGCCTTTCATGGAGCAAATGCTAGAGAGGTTAGCAGGGCAGACATACTACTGTTTCTGGATGGGTACTCAGGATACGATCAAATTGGTGTTGATTTAGAAGATCAAGAGAAGACAACCTTTACTTGCCCCTTTTGTGTGTTTGCTTATTGAAAAGTGCCATTTAGATTATGTAATGCACCAGCTACCTTCCAACGTTGCATGCTTGCAATTTTCTTTGACTTGGTGAAACAATGCATTGACCTTTTTATGGATGATTTCTCAGTATTTGGTTCCTCTTTTAATGTTTGTCTTGATAATCTCAACATTATTTTGAACTGATGTGTAGAGACATATTTGGTATTGAATTGAGAAACGTGTCATTTCATGGTTACAAAGGGCATTGTTCTAGGCCACAAGATATCTGAGAGAGGCATAGAAATGGATCCAGCCAAGGTGGACATAATTGCAAAGTTGCCTCTGCCAACTAATGTGCAAAGGGATTAGAAGTTCTTAGGCTATGCTAGATTCTAGAGACAGTTCATTAAGGACTTCTCCAAAATTGCTAAGTCACTTAGCAATCTCCTTTTTATAGACACTAAATTTAATTTTGATGATGATTGTCTTTATGCTTTTTCTTTGTTAAAAGACCAATTAAGTTTAGATCACACAATCACTGCTTCTGATTGGAACTATAATTTTGAACTAATATGTAATGCAAGTAATTATGCAATAGGAGCTATACTTGGCCAAAGAAAGAATAAGATTTTTCATGTCATACATTGTGCAAGCAAAGTTTTAAATAAAAATCAAATTAATTATGCAATCACTGAAAAAGAGTTGCTTGTTATAGTGTATGCCTTAGAAAAACCCAGGCCCTACTTGATTGGTTCTAAGATTATTGTTTATATTGACCATGCAATTGTATAATATTTGTTGACCAAATCATATTTTAAACCTAGGTTGATAAGATGAATTCTGCTATTAGAAGAATTTGATTTAAAGATCAAAAAGAAAAAAAAGATGTGAAAATCAGTTGTCAAGGCTTGTAAGTGAAGAGGTGACTATACAAGAGAGTGAAATCCTTACACAATTTCCTGACGAGAAACTGTTTTCTATATAAGAAAGACCTTGGTTTGCTGACATGAAAAACTTTAAGGTTGCTAGAGTTATTTTAGAAGATTTTAATCAGAATCAGAGAAAGAAGTTCTTCAAGGATGCATTTTATTTTGTATAAGATGATCCTTATATTTTTAAGATAGGTGTTGATGGTCTGCTTAGAAGATGTGTTTTTGGAGCTGACAACAAAGATATCTAATGGCAGTGTCATAACTCACCCTAGGTTGGCCATTACAATGGAGAAAGGACAACAACTAAGGTCCTTCAATCCAAATTTTATTAGTGTGCCTTGTTTAAAGATGCATTTGAACACTGTTAGAATTGTGGCAAGTGTCAAAGGACCAGAAGGATCTTTAGAAAACATGAGCTTCCATTGCATAACATCAGTGAGGTGGAAGTTTTTGATTGCTGGGAAGTAGAATTTGTTGGTCCATTACCACCTTCATTTGGAAATGAATATATTATAGTAGTAGTAAACTATGTTTCAAAATGGGTGGAAGCTAGTGCACTTTAGAAAGCTAATGCCAGAACTATGATTAAGTTTCAAAAGAAAATCATCTTTAGTATATTTGGATCATTTGGAGTTCTAATCAGTGATAGTGGTTCACATTTCTGCAATGTTATCTGAAGTTCTAGAACTTTACAGTGTGAAGCATAAGGTTGCTACACCCTACCATCCTTAGACAAATGGTCATGTAGAAGAGTTTAACAGAGAGCTAAAATAGATTTTGGATAAAACTGTGGCCAACTCCAGGAAAGATTGGGCTCTGAAATTGGATGACACACTCTAGGAATACAAAACTGCATTCAAGTCTCTGACTAGCTTATCTCTATTCCATCTCGTTTATGGAAAAGCCTATCATCTCCCTGTTAAGTTAGAGCATAAAGGTTTTTGGGCTGTAGGAGAAAAAAGGAAACTTTAGTTGCATGAATTAGAAGAAATGAGACTGTAGACCTATGAATCCTCTAGACTTTATAAAAGCAAAGTCAAGCAATATCATGATAAGAAAATTCTAAAAAGGAACTTCTAACCTAGCTAGCAAGTTCTATTGTTTAATTCCAGGCTGAGACTTTTCCCTGGAAGTATCAAGTCTAAATGGTCAAGTCCCTTTTACAATCAAGTTTGTGAAACCATATGGGGCCATCAAGTTGGAAGAACCTGTCACTGGGAGGACATGGATGGTGAATGGTCAGAGGGTCAAGCTTTATCTGGGTGGTGAAGTTGAAAGACTCACCATTGTCGTCCACCTTAATGATTCTTGACCACTCTAATAGTAATGTAAAGCTAATGACACTAAACAAGCGCTCACTGGGAGGAAGCCTAGTTATTTTGATTTATTTTATTTTAGTTGTTCAATTCTATTTATGTAAATGTGTTGGTGATATTTGTGTTAATCAAACTTTTGACAATGTGTTTATGTTATTTAATAAAGTTTTTATGAGTCCATGTTGATTGGAGGAGTACAAAACATGGTTGAGGAATGCCTCTTCCACCAAACAGCTCAACCGTTGTCCAAGGGCTGAGCCCTTTCACATGAAAATAAAAGGGTAAGCTCTCTAGAAAGCAAACCGCTCAGCGGTTTAAGAAAGGCTAAATGCTTCATCTTAGGCAAGTTTTACCCTCTTTTTGCTGCATCAAAGCGTTTAACGCCTGAATAACAACTAGCATTTTTGGGTTTGGAATAAACTAAGTCTCTACAGCCAAAATACTCAAGTTCTATTAAAAAGCTTAGTGCGTTGCAACTAAAAAAGGGAGGTCTCTCTGGAGCCAAACTGCTCAGCAATACTGAGCGGTTGGCACACTAAAATAAAAAAACCGTCATCTTAA